TACGCAGCGCTTTCCATATACCGTATTTTTCGCTCCATAAGACACGCATTGGTTTTAGAGGAGAAAAACAAGAAAAAAAATATTCTGAACCAATGGACTGCAGACAGTACAGGAAATGACCAGAGACTGCGGACATAGTACAGGAGATGACCAGAGACTGCGGACATACTACAAAAGATGACGAGAGACTGCGGACACAGTACAGGGGATGACCAGAGACTGCAGACACAGTACAGGAGATGACGAGAGACTGCGGACACAGTACAGGGGATGACCAGAGACTGCGAACATAGTACAGGAGATGATCAGAGACTGCGGACACAGTACAGGGGATGACCAGAGACTGCGGACATAGTACAGGGGATGACCAGAGACTGCGGACACAGTACCAGAGACTGCGGACACAGTACCCCCTTGAGGGTTAGGGACTGATGTGAATGTACAATATATATATGTAAAGCGCTGTGTAGATTGACGGCGCTATATAAGTACCTGAAATAAATAAATAATAGTATAACATTACTGTATCAAAGCATTTCACATACATTTTGTCCCTAGTGCTTTGTCCTGTGCCCTGCCTGCATTTTTACTGTTCTTTCTGCCTGGAAACTGAGAAACGTCCATAGCGTCCAAAAAGCGTCCCTTTAGGTCAAAAGCGATTTTAGACCAGCTAGAGAACAGCGATAGTAAATTAGAACCACTTGCAGAATTGAGTGATAATGATTCGTGGGGAAATTCGTCATCAGACACTGAAAACGATTTTGTGACTGAGCTCAGCGATGTGCGAACTTGGCGCTATATTTCAAATTTCAGTGTTTTTTGGTTTGATTACATTATTGAATTAAATTTATTATTATTATATTATTATTTTTTACGATTATTTATTATATTATCATTTATGATTTCGTGTTTCAAATTTTATCATACTCGGGATGTTTACTAGACTCTTGTTCGGGCAGATTTCAGTGAGTTATTCCTAAAAATTACAGGTCTGCAATAAAAAAACTACATATTTCCATGCAAAAGATGTACCCCTTTGAGCACAAAAATATTGATATAATCAGACCGCTAGGGAGGTTAAAGCAGTAATATATGGCCTCATGCACACAAGCCCAATAAAATACTGTAAACTGATCTTACTACCTGGAGCTGGCATAAAAATCCACCTTAAAAAATAGAGTGTTTTTGGCGTGTAATTATGTGCATTTACAGGCGTATAGCATTTTTTAATACCCCTAAATGCTGCTGAGTTCAGAGGGGGTAAAAGTGGGGGGGTAAAATGCCTCCCCCCCAAATTCTAACATTAGCGACATTCAGGAAGTGGCAGTTGGGCTAATAAATCAATCTGTTTCATCCAATCTAAGTGTGTATCTGGAAGTGTGCTTTTTTAATTGGTCCCATGCCACCTTCCGAGACCCTCAGCATGGGTATGCAGGTATTCTGCATTCTTCAAGAAAATACTTCCATTATTGGTGTAGGAGTGGTCTTCTCTTTGTAGTCCTTCACTAATTTTCCATATACTGTAATAATAAAATTCCTAAAACATAAACTAGTAATCAGTGACCTCTAGTGGCTGAGATGTATTTTTTTTAATTATACATTTTTTCCAAAGCCCAGACAAAACCTGTCAAGTCACATGCATGCATCTATGTAAAAATTTTCTATTTTCTATTAAAGAATTGAATTGTAAGACACCCAAAACCAAAAATGTATTATATTGCAGCTTACCAATCATTAGATGTGCTGTTTGCATTAGTTTTTTTTCCAGCTTTTTCTCTCTGTTTTAGCTTCAGTTTTTCAGTGCATCTAAATCTGCTAGTCCATCTTACGCTCCCCTCCCCCAGACTGACAATACTGCTGTCCAAAGGTGCCCCTGTGCTCCTTCATCCAAAGTGGAGGCACTCTAATACTGGCGGTGTGTTACTGGCCAGATGCCCAGGTGAAAACAGAGGGAAAAAAAGCCTGAAAATAGAAATTTATGCAGCCACCACATCTGGTGATTGGTAAGCTGCAATAAAATACATTATTAGTTTTGGGTTTATTACTACTTTAAAACTCTTACTAGCTTGACTGCATATGAATTGCCACTTATGTAGCAGCTCCCTGACCCCTTAAGGCAATGAGCATGGCCAGTTCACATTACATGCATTTCAGTGCTTTTTTCTGCATGCAAAACGCACAGGAAGTAGGTTATATGGTTGTCAATGTCATAGTTCACATCAGTGCTTTCAGTTCCAGTGCATTCCGGATGCAGAAAAAAAGCAGAACAGGCTGCATTATTCCTGCACAGAACTGTACTGGAACGCGGTAAAACGCATCAAACCGCACCGGAATGCAGCAAAAACACACTGGAAAGCATGCCCCTATTACAACTGAAGAATAAAAAGAGAGGGGAGAAAATGAACTGGAAAGCTTCAAAAACTCACCAGAACATGTCAAAAAACACACCAGAACACATCAACAAATGCATTGAAAGCGCCAAAAATGCAGCAAAACCGCACATGCAGAAATGCATCTGGAACATATCTGCACTGTGTTTCTATAGTGTGAATTGACCCTTAATATGCTAGCTCCATTTGTTTTCTTTTTTTTTGGCTTTTTTATCTTTTACGTTCATCTGGTGGTCCAGCCAGTAACACACTCCTTGTCTTTTAGTGGCTCCACTCTGAATGAAGAAGCAACAGAGACAGCTTTGAACAGCAGCATTGTCAGTCTGGGGAGAGGGTAGGGGAAGATGTCCTAGCAGATTTAGATGGCCTTGATTAACAAATAAAACTGCTCCAGCTAACACTTTATAAACAGTTACAGCAAACCAGTTTTTTTTCCTTTTAAGATAAAGGTTTTACATGATTAAATAAATAAATAAAGCATTAATCACTCCTGTCAGTGTTAAATGATTTGTCTCAGCTCTTCTAACTGCCGCTTGGTCTGTTGAAGTAAGTTGAAAAAATAACAGACTTACTGGTCGAATCACTAGGGGAAAGAAAGACGGAAAGGAAAGAAAGAAAGAAAGAAAGAAAGAAAGAAAGAAAGAAAGAAAGAAAGAAAGAAAGAAAGAAAGAAAGAAAAAGAAAGAAAGTGAAAAAAGAAAATTAATGCAACCACCACATCCAAGGATTTGTAGGCTGCAGTATATACATTTGTGTTTAACCCTTTTGCTGTCAGAGCCATTTTTGCTCTTTTTGCTCACAAGTTTAAATAATTATTTTATAGTTTACCATATATTTTTTTTGTCAGAGACAATCTATATTTATTACTTTCTAACTCAGGCACTTTTTAATCTCGATGCCAGACCACAAACCTTATACCAGGCTCCTTTCTCCATTTGTGTAGCTTTGTGAGGTTGGGACCCGTGATACCCACTTGCTTTCTACTATCTACAAACTACGAAATGCTCCACCAGGGGACTTTGTCCCCCCTATATATAATAAGAATTTCTGAGGACCCTGTAAAAAGCTCAGACTGATAGAGCCATCACTATGGCACAAACATTCTCCATGGCGAATCACTCTCAGGAACTAGGGTATACATTGCTCTCTAGGTGGTACCAAGTTCCAGAGCTATTGAACAAAAATTTATACCTTGATCCCGAAGGAATGCTGGAGGTCTCAAAAGGACCTCGGGACACTCCTGCATATCTCCTGGCAATGTCTGGTATTACATACTCTTTTGATGGAGGTCCATAAAATAATCCTCCAGCTGACTTCAGTGGACCATGGTCCAGATCATATTTGGAATTTGTTACATGTCAACCAGGTTTCTATGGAATAATAAAAGTCATCCCTGCACTTGCTGAATGCTGCAACCCCCCACTCAAAGGCGTTTACCTGTTCTGCCCAATGCACTTCTTTTCTGCATCTGACACCAACCACACATTATATTTAATGAGTATTAAATGTTTGATTATCAGACCTGGTGATGGCACTTTCAGACATAGGAGACCAGTGGTGGTTCCAGAGATCTTAGCATGTAGCATCCCCTTTACTGCCACATCATAATAGTTCCCCTGTTTTTTTTTACTTCTTTTCTTATCTCCTCACAAGACTTTTCCTCTACTCTTCCATTTTAGGGTTTCTCTCCCAAACCCATTCCTCCAAAGAGGTTTCTTGGTAGTAAAATCACAGACACGGTGACACCCAAAACATACTCAGATGTTAATTTGTTGTCAATAGTCTTTTCAAGTGCTATCTTATACTCTACCATCTTCTGATGTGTTCATATGTTTTCCAACCTTTTCGGGTCAGCTGTGTCAGGCTTTATGGTCACTTTCTGTTAACTTATAAGTCAACACACAACACACCCCATGTCAAGTACACCTTGTGTTTTTATAAGTGTATGGGCTCTAATTATATCTGAGTGGATTGTAATTGTACAGAATGTACACTGGCTGTGGTTTTAGATGAAGATGAGCATGGCAAACAGGTGACAACACGTTCGGGACATTTGTCAAACACAGGGTGTATAAGAAGGATGGTGTTCATTTGGCATAGATGACATACTGTAAGCAAGAGAAAATAGAATGTCTATACTTGTTATGAAAATGCATATATTAACCACTTGCCCTCCTGAGAACTTACCCCCCTTCCGGATCAGGCCATTTTTTGCGTTATGGCACTGCTTTACTTAATTTAATTGCGCGGTCATGCAGCTCTGCACCCAAATTAAATTTACGTCCTTTTTTCCCACTAATTGAGCTTTCTTTCAGTGGTATTTGATCTCCTGTGCGGGTTTTAATTTTTTGCGCTATAAAAAAAAAGACTGACAATTTTGAGAAAAAAAAAACAATATTTTTGACTTTTTGCTATTAAACATGTCTAGTAAAAAAAATTTAAAAAATCAAATTTAGTCATAAATTTAGGCCAAAATGTATTCTGCTGCATGTCTTTGCTAAAAACAAATCCCAATACGTGTAAATTAATTGGTTTACTTGAAAGTATTAGCATTTACACATGGCGATATAGATAGTGGAATTAATTTTTTTTACTAGTAATGGTGGCGATCAGCGACTTATAGCGAGACTGCGGCAGACATTCTGACACTGGGGGGAAATGACTTGGTGTTACTGACATCCCCAGTGACACCAATACAGTGATCATTGCTAATAAAAAGCACTGACACTGTACTAATGGCACTGGGCAGGAAGGGGTTAACATGAGGGGCAATCAAAGGGTTAACTGTGTGCTGGGAGTGTTTTACATAGGGGCCGTGTCAGTGTGCTTCTCTGTAAGCACACTGCTTTGGATGGCTGTGCATGCACCCATCCAAAGCAGTGTGCCCGAGCTGACAGGGAGGAGAACGGTTAGTAAACAAAACAGTTCTCCTCCCCGTCGGGAAATCACTGGGTGCCGGCAAGTAATCACCAGCCGGGACCCGGTGATTGACAGCCGTATCCACGGATGGCAGCGCGGGCAATGCAAAATCATGTAAATATGTGATTTTGCGCACCCGTGCCGCCCTGTAGCAGTATTTCTGCTATAAGGCGGTGCAGAAGCGGTTAAAGTAACATCTCAATTTCCATATTTCCAATGCAGTGCTTCATTTCTTTGGCGTAAAGTGTTGAGTAGCTCTTCCTCTGTGATTGAAGTTGCCTATTTGCCGTGTTGCGAGGTACAGTGTCAAAGGTTATGACAGCATATAGTTTCCAGGAAAACATCGTCTGATAAGCATAAGTGCAGTCAACATGGTCAACTGATCGAAAGAGACAAAAGGACATTGCGCAGGATTGTGACCCGGAGTAAGAAAACAACTGCTGAAGTGACTGCAGAGCTCAATCTCAGTCTTCACGGAACATGGCAAATAAATTGGCAACTTAAGTCAGAGGCACCAGCTAAGTGGGCACCAACTATTTTCCCTCTTTGAAGCTCAGTAACATCTGACACAACTCCGTATTACTAGCAGCGCACACAGTGAGGCTTCCACCTGTTAGCTAGGTGTCTCATCACACAGCGGAAGCAAAATAATGTTACATCACACCCGCTTTCAACACGGAACACGTCACTTTCACATCAGCAAATAATGAATCGTTTCCATTTTGTTGTCTAACCCCTGGATATATGTACAAATTGAAGGCGCTTTATAAGTTCCTGAAATAAATCTGCAACATTTAGTCACAGGGCACGTAGGATACTAATGTTTTCTATGTGCCCAGGAGTTGAGTCTGTCTGGTATGAAGTGCTATGAACTAGAGAGAGCTAGGAGAGGAAGGAGAGCTGACTGTGCAGATTATGATGATTCCGCTGCTCCTCTGTCACACGCTCACATACAGGAGCCCAGACTGTACTGAGACTGTGTGACACCCAGCAGCTGCTGACGGCTCCCCTGTGCCAGACTTAATGCTTGGAGCAGCCAATGACAAGCCGGAGTGGACGCTTCACACATGCGCAATGCTATCCTGGCGTCTCTTCCGGTTTAGTCCCTTCCCCCGCTGCTGCTACTGCATTCCCTTCCGGTGTGAGAAGGAGGAGGCCGCCTGTGGTGGGATCGCACGCATTTGCTTTCTGTTTTGGCAGAATTTAGGTTTTGTGAGGCAAAGGGGAGCCCATGTTTTCTCCTGAGGAGCCGTAGTGTCTGTGAGTCGTAGAGTGTGAGTCCCGGGCAGAATGCCTCCTGTACAGCTAGAGAGCAGTCAGCTGGTGGTGACTGGGGCTCCCACCACTGCCCCTCAGCCTCCTCCTCCGGGGGCAGTAGTCGCCTCAGCTACGGCCAGTCATGGCTACCGCCTCAGTACACTCATCGACTACCTACTACAGAGGACCTACCAAGAGATCAACGTGCTGGCTGACCTGTAAGTAACTTGTATGGATGGTGCTTCATTGCCTCCAGTCTATCACACTGTATTCCCAGCTGCTGGGAGACAAACATCCAGGGTGACTGCTTCTGGAAATGCTGGCTGTCATGGCAATGCATTGGCTTCAGTACTTCGGAGTCCCTGATCCAGAATAGGAGTAGAGAGGAGTCATTTGTTACAATGGATGTATACACATCACTGGTGTTGGTTTGTGTAGAGCAGGGGTCCCCAAACCGTCTAAGCAAAGGGCCAGTTTACTGCTGTTCAGTTTTTAGGGGGGCCATCGGGAGTAGAAAAGGTCCCAACGTCAGTATGGAACAAAATGCCCCATCTTTGATGTCAGTGGAAGGAATAGTGCCCCATTGTTTGTGTCATTGGGAGGAATTGTGCCTCGTCATTGGTGTTATTTGGAGGAATTGTACCCCATCATTGGGCCCCGTTGTTGGTGTCATTGGGAGAAGTTGTGCCCCGTCGTTGGTGTCATTGGGAGAAGTTGTGCCACGTTGGTGGGAGAAGTTGGCCCATTGTTGGTGTCATTGGGAGAAGTTGTGCCTCATTGGTGTTATTCGGAGGAATTGTACCCCATCATTGGGCCCTGTTGTTGGTGTCATTGGGAGAAGTTGTGCCCCGTCGTTGGTGTCATTGGGAGAAGTTGTGCCCCGTCATTGGTGTCATTGGGAGAAGTTGTGCCCTGTCGTTGGTGTCATTGGGAGAAGTTGTGCCCCGTCGTTGGTTCATTGGGAGAAGTTGTGCCCCGTTGTTGTGTCATTGGAGAAGTTGTGCCCCGTCGTTGGTGTCATTGGGAGAAGTTGTGCCCCGTCGTTGGTGTCATTGGGAGAAGCTGTGCCCCGTCGTTGGTGTCATTGGGAGAAGCTGTGCCCCGTCGTTGGTGTCATTGGGAGAAGCTGTGCCCCGTCGTTGGTGTCATTGGGAGAAGCTGTGTGCCCCGTCGTTGGTGTCATTGGGAGAAGTGTGCCCCGTCGTTGGTGTCATTGGGAGAAGTTGTGCCCTGTCGTTGGTGTCATTGGGAGAAGTTGTGCCCGTCGTTGGTGTCATTGGGAGAAGTTGTGCCCGTCGTTGGTGTCATTGGGAGAGTTGGCCCAGTTGTTGGTGTCATTGGGAGAAGTTGTGCCCCTATCATTGGTGTTTTTGGAGGAATTGGGAGATCATTGGGCCCTGTTGTTGGTGTCATTGGGAGAAGTTGTGCCCCGTCGTTGGTGTCATTGGGAGAAGTTGTGCCCCGTCGTTGGTGTCATTGGGAGAAGTTGTGCCCCGTCGTTGGTGTCATTGGGAGAAGTTGTGCCCCGTCGTTGGTGTCATTGGGAGAAGTTGTGCCCCGTCGTTGGTGTCATTGGGAGAAGTTGTGCCCCGTCGTTGGTGTCATTGGGAGAAGTTGTGCCCCGTCGTTGGTGTCATTGGGAGAAGTTGTGCCCCGTCGTTGGTGTCATTGGGAGAAGTTGTGCCCCGTCGTTGGTGTCATTGGGAGAAGTTGTGCCCCGTCATTGGGAGGAAGTTGTGCCCCGTCGTTGGTGTCATTGGGAGAAGTTGTGCCCCGTCGTCGGTGACAGTGGGAGGAGTTGTGCCCCGTCGTTGGTGTCATTGGGAGAAGTTGTGCCCCGTCGTTGGTGTCAGTGGGAGGAGTTGTGCCCCGTCGTTGGTGTCAGTGGGAGGAGTTGTGCCCCGTCGTTGGTGTCAGTGGGAGGAGTTGTGCCCCGTCGTTGGTGTCAGTGGAAGGAATTGTGCCTCGTCATTGGTGTTATTCGGAGGAATAGTACCCCATCATTGGGCCCCGTTGGTGTCATTGGGAGAAGTTGTGCCCCTTCATTGGGAGGAATTGCACCCCATCATTGGTGTCATTGGGAGGAATTGTGCCTCATCATTGGTGTTATTCGAAGAAATTGTACCCCATCATTGGGCCCCGTTGTTGGTGTCATTGGGAGAAGTTGTGCCCCTTCATTGGTGTCATTGATAGGAATTGTACCCCATCATTGGTGTCATTGGGCGGAATTGTGCCCTCATCATTGGTGTTATTCGGAGGAATTGTACCCCATCATTGGGCCCCGTTGTTGGTGTCATTGGGAGATGTTGTGCCCCTTCATTGGGAGGAATTGCACCCCATCATTGGTGTCATTGGGAGGAATTGTACCCTATCACTGGGCCCCATTATTGGTGTCATTGGGAGAAATTGTGCCCTTTCATTGGTGTCATTGGGAGGAATTGTACCCCATCATTGGGCCCCATTGTTTGTGTCATTGGGAGAAATTGTGCCCCTTCATTGGTGTCAGTGGGGGAATTTTGCCCTGTTGGTATCAGTGGATGAAAGAGTGACCCAGGGGCCAGACAAAAGCAAGCAAAGGGCAGCATCTGGCCCGGGGGCCACAGTTTGGAGACCACTGGTGTAGAGGGATGAATGGCGCAGGGTTTTCTTTGCTGGCTTTGAGGTCTGTGTGATTTTACTTTCTTTTTAGAAGTTATGACTGGGTGTAAGAGGAAATGTAATCAATCTGTAAGGCCTCATTCACATGGGCATACTTAAAGCAGAACTAAAGGGATCAGTCCCTACATTTCCTCCAACGGGGTCCCCATCCTTTGCCTGCTTCTTCTTCAGTGTGCCAGTCTTTGGCCGGCCCTGAACGACGTCATCCTGCCACACAGGGATCAGGCCAGCCCTGGAGACCACTGAGAGCAGGCAGGTAGGGGTACTTTAGTGCAGAAGGGACATGGCATGTCTTGTCTGCAATAAGGAGTCTGCCTGCTCACAGTAACGGACTTGTTTCGCTTTAAGTATGCTGTCTGTCCCTATATGGGATGCAAAGATGTCCCATTCATGTCTGCTGAACCTCCGCAGCTTCATGAACACAGCCACTGTTCCCAATTTGAAAGTCATGGAGGTGCATTTCCTGGAATGCAGACATTGTACATTCAGGGACACGCATCTACTTGGAAGTGTACAATCCAAATGCACATGTTCCTGCGTTATAAATGGCTGTGTGTATAAGTAGGTGCTGCAGTGTCTGTCTTCTGGAACCGAACAGAATCAGCAAAGGAGAATGTCACCAGCACACCGAGGATCACCAGTCCAAAGGTTTCAATGAACGATCACATAGTTACAGCAAGGCAACGTTTCGGAGTTTCGCAGGACCACTTCATCAGTCATGTCACTAATGCCTGATGAAGGGGTCCTGCAGGACTCCGAAACGTTTCCTTGTTGTAACTATGTGATCGTTCATTAAAACTTTTGGACTGGTGATCCTCGGTGTGCTGGTGACATTCTCCCACGCACCTGCATGGCTCGCAAATTGGGAACAGCAGCTGTATCCTATTAGACATAACTGGGACTGCCTGCATGCTGATGCGAAGATGAACGCTTAAAGTGTTAGTAAACCCAGGACCCTGCATTCACTATATCTGGTATCCCACATTACACAGAACATGGAAATGCAATTATTTTAGTCAATATAAACTGCTAAATACGTTTTCTCAGCAGTACATAGCAGTCTTTTTACTCCCTATCAGTGTCCGAACGAGCACTGGTTAATCTTGGAGGAGGAGGAGTCTTCATTCTCCTCTGACTGTCCTCTAAGGCTGCATGACTTCTGATCCTCTGTCTGGAAAGCGCTGACT